GATCGCTGGGAAGAGGCCATAAAGGAGCTTCAGAAGCCTGTTCGTGTTGTGCCTCTTGTCTTCGCGGAACCCATTGCATCCAAGAAAGCCTCAGTTGTTCTTAGAGCCATTCAGCGGATTTACAGTAAGATTCGGCTCCAGGGTCTAAGCGTGCGTCGCCTACACACTGACAATGGCCGTGAGTTTAACAACAAACAGTTGCAGGCGTGGGCTTATGCCCGAGACATCTTTCCCACATACAGCGTGCCTGGGGATCCTCGGTCAAATGGCCGCGCAGAGGGGATTGTGGGTCTTGCTAAAAGTGGAATGAGGGCGTTCTTGCGGACGCCAGGATCAACTGCTAGCTGGTGGCCCCATGCTGCACGACAATGGGCCGAAGGGCGCTATCGTGCGGGCATGCAACTGCTTGGGGCATCTCTGCCCAAACGTCCTCTGGTTCCTTTTGGAACGCCGGTTACTGTGAAACGACGCGAGTGGAGTAGAAAAACCCCCTTTGCTCCCAAAGCTCGTAATGGTGTGGCTGTTGCTCCATCCGCCAATTCACCCGGTAGTACCATTGTTCGTATGACTGATCCTGAGACCTCTGATGTTCGCTTCTATGTAGCCCCCGTAGTTTTTCAACAGGTCAAGGAACCAATCCAATTTGAGGGCACAGAAGATCCTAATGAAGAGGCGCCAGACTTGATGGCCGATCTTCAAGAGGATGCTGGTGCTGCAGTTGCAGCTCCTAAGTCTCGAATACGAGGTAAGACTTCTCCAGTCGGCCTTTTTCCTGCTGTTCGTCACGTAACCGAGCAAGATGAGCTCGGGGGGGAGTGTTGTGAGCAAGTTAGTAACAAATCCGAAGGCCTCCTAGCACCCCTTAGTGTAGAAGACAGCGAGGCTGAGGCAGAGAAAATGCTAAGACAGGAGACACCGCCAAGCAGAGAGGCGTTGGATGATCTTATCAAGCGTTCGTTGGTTGACCTAAGGGCTAAGAGCCGACGGGTGGACAGAGAAGCCAGTGGAGCCAAGGGCTGGACTTTGGGTTTTTACTGCTATGNNATAGGCGACCCCATTTGGTTAAGCTTGTCAATTGGTACCTCAAGGGCCTGGTGAAGGAAGGCACATGGACGGCCCTCCGCATTACCGCAGATCTGTCAGCAGGACCACATAGAGATCGAAACGAATCGGGTTCCAAGAATCTGGTTGCACCTTTGAGTAGGTTTCAGGGAGGTAGGATTTGGATTAAGGGTGAGGGTTCTGGGGACCCAGGTTTTCAAAGCATGGATGGGAAATCGATTGAGGGGAGATACGTAGGAGGTGATCAGGTGGATTTTGTGTGGTTCGATCCTGCGGAAATTCATGCCGTAGAGAACGCACAGGGTTCCCGTAGGGTTGCTGTAGGGTACACTCCTAGACTTTGGAGCAAGGTTTCCCAAGCAGACCAAAAGCTTCTTCATAGCCTCTACTTCCCCATACCTCAAACAGACGCCCAGGCGAGTACATGTGCTCAGATTAGGGTAGAGTACTTTGCCATGGATGAAGAGCCTGCCTCGCGACACCCCGAAACCCTTCATCTTGAAAAATCGGTTCATCTTCCTGACCCCATAGGATGCACCCGAACCCCAATGGTATCTGAACATCCTAGGGTTGATCTTTTGGCCGCATTGGCTTCGGATGACCATGATGACCTCTTAAGTAGACTCAGTGCATTTGTGCGAGCGGAGCAACTTCTCGTCCAAGAAGAGATTTCTCAGGGTTGTGGGCATGTCACGATCGAGAGTCTGGCTACTTGGCAGCGTCAGCTCTGTTTGCATCAGCTGTGTGCTGAGCATGACAGGACCGAGGACGGTCTAGCTTCGGGGGAGAATTTTCGGTTTTGGATGCGTCGTGCTCAAGTTGTTGAGGGCATGATTGAAAATGTACAGCTGGAGTCAGATTCACAGACTCCCATGCTAAGGTTGGTTCAAGCCGATCCTGTCCTTGTGGGTCAAGACGAGGATCAAGCCCATAAAGAGGGTCTTGACGAAGTTCCTTTGACTGGTTGTCCTTTAGAGGGGCCGTTGAGTCAGCATCCGGATTTTGGTCAGGAGGCAGATTACATCGAATCCAAAGGTGCAGAGCCGGGTCATGGTCTGTTGCAGACCCGCACTGTACCACAACAGGAGGTATGGGCTAATCTGCCGGCTTGGTATGCACCTCTAGCTGAGGAGGTCACAGCTTTGAAAGTGACCCATCAGGCCGTTCGCAGCATCACCGATCAAGAGATCAAGGAGCTTGAAAAGACCATGAAGGTTACGCATATACCAGCCAAGTGCGTTTATACGCAAAAGCCAGTAAGTAACAAACTTAGAGCCCGGATCGTGGGATGTGGAAATTTCATGTCCTCGGGTGGTCAAAAGGCTGCAGATGAGGCCAGAGGCCAACTTCGTCTTCAGGACCTTTACGCTTCTGGATTGGACGGCTCCTCTGTGCGGATACAGGTCCGGGTAGCCGCGGCCAAACGTTGGCGGTCCTCAGTGCTAGACATCAAAACCGCTTTCTTAACAGCATCATTGTTCCAACCTCACGGGGATAGCTCAAAGGCAGCCAGGCGCTTGATGAGCAAGGCCATCATCGTATCTCCGCCACGTATCCTAGTTCATCTAGGACTTGTGGAAGAGGGAGAGAAGTGGTTAGTCCTTAGAGCCTTATATGGGCTGCCCGAGGCACCGGCTGCGTGGGCATGTGATAGAGATCTCAAGCTGTCAAAAATGACATGGAGAAATGCCGCCGGCCGCTTGTGTTGGTTGGAGCGTTGTCCTGCAGAGGAGAACTTGTGGAAAATCCGGGAGGATCTTTCAGGTCCGTCAGGGTCCATCGATGTGAGTCGAAATCCTCAGAGCAGGGATCCTTGCACGCATGGTCGCCGCACTGTTGGACTGGTCGGAGTGTATGTCGATGACATATTAATCACTGCTGAGGAAGGGCAAGATCAATCCTACATTGATGCAGTGCAATCAGAATGGAAAACTTCGACTCCGGAATTTGTGCGCCCAGAAGCGTCTGTCCGCTTTTGTGGCTATAATTTGTGGGTGGACGAAAAAGGGGTGTATACGCTTAACCAAGAGCATTATGTGCGCGACTTGTTGAGCAAGTACCCTGACGTTCAAGGGGAGAGTGACGTTCCTTTCCTCAAAGAGGATGGGGTGGAGCCTGAGGAACCATCAGTTGAGTTGCTGCGTAAAGCGCAGGCCTATGCAGGTGCCTTTCAATGGCTGACTTGTAGGTCGAGGCCAGATCTGGCGTATGCAACCAACAAGATAGCTCAAATCATGAGTAAATGTCCTAGGCATGCCATCCGTTGCTCTGAAAACTTGATTCGTTATCTGCGTAGGACGTCTCAGCTTGGCTTGCGCTTTGAACCAGTTGACGAGGTTGAGCTTTTTGGCCAGGGTGGTCAGTTGGGCGCGCCGCGTGCACTTGCCTTGCTTGAAATCTTCGCAGATGCCAGCTTTGCCCCAGACAATCAGAAGAGCCAAACCGGCATTGTTGCCACTTTCGGAGGTTCATGCGTAGGATGGGTCTCCACTCGTCAGAGTGTCACCTCATTGAGCACAGCGGAAAGTGAGTTGCACTCAACGCTGGACGGCGTTGTGCTCATGCAGACACTAGGTCCCATTCTTGAAGATATCCTTGAGGCACCTGTGCGTAAACTAGTTTACAATGACAATTTGTCATGTGTTTCGCTGTTCACCGCACCAAGTGGTGTTTGGCGCACGCGCCATCTCAGACTTAAAGCTAAAGCATTTCGGGAGCAGCTCGAAAACGAGCAGTATGAGCTTAGACACCTGGTTGGGCGATGGATGCTGGGTGATGTCTGCACTAAACCAGTACCAGCACCGCGCTTGCGCGAGCTATGTCAGTTGATGAATATGGCGACCCCCACTTGCGTTCTTGGTCGGGGGGAGTCGGCTAGTGTTGCTTCAGCTTCAGCATCAAAAATTGATCCTTCAGCTTGCGTATCAACTGTTGCTCCAGCGGGCGTTGATTCGGCTTGTGTTGCTCAGTCGGTTGCTCAGCATGGCGGACCTCAGGGAGATCTTTCTTCTTCTGATGATGATTGGTCTTTAGTAGAGAGTCCGAATACGCTTGGTTGTGAAACGGGTGTTCGGGCGCATGAGCCATCGGTTGCAATGAGACTGTTGGTTGTTGCTTGCGTGTTGAAGAGAGTTGCAGGGGCCACCAAGGTCACGGTGACGGTTGACCAAGACAATCCAGAGGGAAGCAATCAGCTCCTTAAACTTGCATTCTTGCTTGCGTTGATGGGCGTGGTGCTTGTTTGTCGTTGGTTGTGTTGTCAGCGTGACGGCCCGAGGATTGCATCAGTCAGGAGGGCAACAACTGATTCAGATGATGAGTGGTCTCTGGTCGGGGACCGTCAGTCAAACAGGGATGTATCCATGGATAGGGATGACCCTGGCGAAGCTGTCGGGTTACGTAGGAGGGTCAACAGAACCGGCAGTCGCCCTTGTAGGACCTCTAGTCCCCAGCAGCACCCTAGTGGTTTGGTTCCTGAGCCCCGGGATAGGTTTCTAGTTGGGGATGTAGGTCAGGTGGAACGGGACTCTGGAGGAGGACTG